TACATCATCCACATTATTTTTTCTTTTTTAAAAGACAGCACATTTTTATGCAAATAATATTCTTTATTAAGATGGATAATTAAAACACATTTTTGAGACATATTTCAATATAATATACATATATACCAGAGCATTTATTGTGCCAATATATATAAATCTAACGCTTCATCCTAACTTAAAGCAGCTTTTGTTGAGTAAAAATCTTACATGGAATATCACTACAATACACATTCTTCGCAATAAGGCAGTCGTATGTACACAGTTCTTTTGTATTCACGGTTTGACAGCTGACTACAGTGCAGAAAAGATATATCATAATTTGACTGACAGGAGACAAATCTAAAGATAATGATAATACAATAAATATACATCTGCATCAATACAACAGCTTGTTTAACCAAATCTGATCATTTGGTTATGGGTGGATCCTCTGGTTTATTCTCCTTGTGATTCCTTGTATTTTCCAAGCCTCCAGTTGAGAAGGAGATCAGCACCTGAGCTTCTTGCTACCCCAATCTGCTGCAGCCCTTGTGAGGTGGTAACACTATGTTGGATATTTAAATTATGTTACTGCACAACAGGATGACTAAAATTGGCCAATCATGTTACAGACTGACTGCAGTATTGACTATATTCAATGGAACAAAAAATAAAATATTTTATAATAATCTTATTAGGTCTAGTGAAATATTTCAAAAACTTACCAAATCATTCTTTTGTATAAGCACATCTACATGTTGGGTACACGCGATTCGAATTTCATCTGGTGCCTGATGAACCGGCAGAAATTCTTACCTTGGGTGACGCCAATCAGCTCATCAAATGATCTGGTTGGAAAATTCTCGGCCGAATGGAGCTAGCATCCAATCAACTGCCGCTGTCAGAATACAATGCAAACAGCGGGGGATTGGTACGTCAAGGCTCATAAGTGTTGGAAGAATCTGCTCTATTTACTTGTTTAGCCCGCAGGTTGAAAGAAAACAATAGCATCTTGTATACTCCAATCTAGATTAGATTTCTGTTGATGTATATATAGGCTTAGTAGACTATTTAATTAGATTTTAGCATATGTGATCAGCATAAAACTCCTTGTGCTTTAGGAGCAGTAATGAAATTCCAATCCAATAAAAACAGATATGCTGGCGAACACATGTTACTGCTGGAGTCCCTGAGAAATACAAGAGTATGTATATTTCAGCCTTCCAGTACCAACCCTTATCCAAAATATCGATTTTGGTTTGACTGATCCTTTAGTTCCTTTCAGATAAGTGTTGTTCTGTGGCTCTTACATTACACTGCACAAAGCTAAAACAAATGAAGACAAGATGAAAACAATTGACAACCAAATAAAATGCAAAGGGTCTCATTTATCAATATATCTGAATTCAGAAAGCTGGAATCCATCAATTAATTGTAAATAATTTGCAATGAAAGCTTATGTTCCTAGCTATCTAAAAAATGTCCCCTGGTTCTCAGACTGGACTAACTTTATCTTGATTGGTTTAAAGTACAACTAAACGCTACTGTATGACAGCATAAACAAGTACTAAATCCAGTTACCATGTGATGCACAAGCCTCAAAGTATACACAAAAACTTCCTTTACCTCTCTGGACTGAGTCAAATTTTCCTTTATTTGTGTCTGCTACGCTACCCCACCCAGACACTGCAGCTACCAGAGGGAGGGGTTTCAGCAACAGAGGCAGTGCTGTTAATCCAGAAAGCAGTGGGCAGGACTAGGCGTGATCAGGTGCTGGTTGACAGATGAATCAGCAGTGACACAGGTGATAGCCACGCCCCTTCAAAAACATTTTTCTTCCCACTGTAGTGCAAGCAGGCATAGTTTACATGAGACTGGCAACTCTACTCTGAATTAAGGAGTAGTGAAGCATCATTGACACACCATTACAGGAACCTACTTTAGGTGGCCTTCACTGGCAGGCTCAATAGGTATTCGTGGGACTTTGCAGGTGGACTGAGAAAAAACTGTACATACTGATGTGCTTATAATTAAGTGCTGCAGCACATAATTGTTTTGATTGGAGGCCACATTTCTACTTTAGGTTATACCATCCTGGTATTTGCAACTAATCAGCTTTCATCTGTAATTTGATTAATGCAGGTTTAAAAATAAAACAAGAAACTTATTGTTGTTTATGGACAACAAAAAGTTATTTCTGACATTTGAAACAAAAAGGGTTGATTATCCACAATAAGATTTGTCAAGTAAAACAAAAATAACTTGGGTGAGAGAGGAGCCAAAAAAAAAAGAACAAGCAATAGACTGGTTTATATGAAGGATGAATCCCTACTAGTAGATATAGGTAAGAGCTCTAATTTTGTTTTAGATTTTATAAATTAGCATCATTATAATGAATCAGAGCAAATATAATTAAAAACAGAATTCAAATAGTTCTTTTAATAAGCCTTCAGTGTTAAAAAGCTTGCTAAGCTAGGATCTCTGTTGGTGTTGAGGTACCCTAAGGTGGCAGACTGCACCTATCTCATGACTGTAGGGGCACTCAAGACAATGAAGCCCACAGAAATGTTCCAACTTCAAAAGGTAAGGGGAGAACAAGCACCGCCCCTCCCTCATCCCAGTGCTTTGGTTGCTATGTGACCCATCAGCAGATCCAAACATTGACACTTGTAATCATGCCTAAAACATCAGTATTTGCACAGGGAATTTGGGGAGTTTCCAGCAGTGCTGCGTATACACTTATACTACACTCTAATGTACAATGTGGTACCTTAGATCTTTGTTTAGCAGATGCTTCAATAATACTGGTTCAAGTATTCTTCTCTTATACCCTATGGAAATTAAAGGCTGACAGTCAAGCTTTCTATAGCTTAGATAGAAAAGATTTTGTGCATCGAAAGGTGCCT